GTCAACAGCAATTATACCCTTCCAAATAAATATCTTTCAATACATTATAAGTTTAATGTAATTATTACTTTCCCACCTCAAAAGGACAACGATGACTCAAAATTAAATGACTCTTCAGAAATTTAAAAACCAAATTTATAGCTGGATTGTTCTTCCTTGCTAAATACTCACAAACATCACCGGAAACATTGAACATCCATGGTTTATAACCATTTGCTCTTTTGAATATTTGTGCATGAAACTGAAAAATCAAAACCTCTATTATATTTTATCTACCACCCAATAATCGAATATAAATACTGTAGGATTCTGGACAGGTTCAATTAGTGTTGCATTCGCATATAGCGCCGTATTGTCACGGCTTAGAGCTTTCAAGCGACAAATATTTACCACGACTCGAGATTTGTTGAAAGACTGACATTCGACATTAGTAAATTTTAGAAAGCAAAATACCTGAAGCGATATAGATCAATATGTACATAATATTTTATAGATTACAATATTTTTCAATCTCACTTACATTTGGTATCAGTGCAAGTAGATATATAACATTCGAAACTAACATCTTTTACGTATCACATTAAACTATTTTTAATAAAACTGTATCTAAAACATACATTTAAATCGAAATGAAACCATTGGAAATTTGAATTATTTCAATTACTATTATTAAGTGTAATTATATGTTATTAAAATTTTTAATATATCAATAATTAGAGACTATAGTAACCGCATGAATAGTTTATTTGATTATTGAAATTAAAGAATATATGGTAATCCCGGCAATATGAATAATACTAGACGTTGAGTATTGGCTTCTTATTGGCTGAAACTGTACATCAATTTTGATACAAGCATACGAGTAGAAGGGTTTTAGCATTCGAGACTTAATTTTATGTTTACTTTAACATTCTATTTTAGCTTAGAAAATTTTTATTTTCTTTTTTTGATATTAAAAGATCACAGAGATGGGGTGTAAGGTCAAAATTGTAAAGGTGTGTTGATTTTTAATATTTCTTTAGAGCTACCTGTCATAGGTCTTCACACCCACCTTTCCGCAATTGAAACTCGCAGATATATCTACTACTTTATTCGGCTTATTCAAGTAATCAAAACTATATATTGTTTATACTGATGCATTAACTTTTTAATACAGTGATTGCATATTAACAAAGTCAATGTACAGTATCGTATTTTATATAAGAATATCCAGGATTTAAAAAATATTATAGACAATATTATGCATAAAAAACTAAGATATATTTGTCTATTTATATAAATAAATTTATATTATATTTATATTATAATTAAATTTATTATTATATTGAGGATAGTTGAGTCAATGCACTTGAGCACTTCCACTCTCTATTAACTGCGATATCTCTTCATAACCCCTCTCCATGCCTTAACTGAATTATTGTTTATCATCAGACTAAGCAATAATTGACAATAATTGTAAAATTCCCGAGGAGCCTGTAACCTTTCTAAGATTCGATAACGCGGTATTGGCAAGTCTATCCGTTTTCGTAAAAAATTTCAGGGCTCTATCCTTTATGTATCTTTTAATCGGATCAATCTTGAGGTCCCTAACGATGTCATTCATCCCAATGTAGTATGTAGTAGTACCTTGAAAAGTTTTCTCAGAGCCTAGCTTTGTGCAATTTCCAGCTAGCGATTAGTAGTACTTGAGGTTTTACTAAACGCTACATATCCATATAGAAGTGACGGACGAATTACTTGGTTATATATTAGCTGTTCTTAGCATTGAGATTTTCATTTTTGAATACCGGTTGGAGGTGATGAAAAATTTTGGTACAGCTGATTCTTTTCAATTGAACATGTTTAAGTCATGTAAATCGTTTGTCCACCGTGATGCCTAGATATTTAATGCTATCCTCCCAGTTTATTATGAAATATAAATAATCTACTTCCTATATTAATAAATGTGCAAAAAGAACTAATAATTTGAAAAGAGAAGCCATAAGCGATGCCTGATTAATCCAAGACATCACTCTTGAACTTTTACTTCAAATGAATCAAAAGTAATCTGTCGTTTCTAGTCAGTTATTTTCTACTTCGAAACTTTTTTTAATTAACATATTTTCATAATTGTTTCGTGATAATGTAATTAACACATCATAACTCTCTGAAATTGAAAATTTAATTATCTTCCATTATAAATGAATTAATGTTCATATTTACAATGTTTAAAATTACCAAATAAAGGTGGTTTGCAAATCTAAGTGGAATAATCCCATTTTTCACATATTCAGAGGTTTGAGGGTTTTTTTTTCTGCAATTTAAAAATATATGCAAATTTTTTGATGTTTCTAACAGAATTTGAAACAAGAATACATTTCCATATAGTAATGTTTTATAGTAGAAACAATAATTAATGGGATTTTAAAAGAAATTAAACATTTCATAGTTGCATTTGAACTTTATTTTATATTTATATAAAATAAATTATTAAGTGATATTAAGCGGTACAGTTTTTAATGTTTAAAAACAATTAAAAGACTAAAATTAAATTATAAAATATTATATATTATTAATTATTAAAAAAATTATTTAAAACGTTCACAACTACTTTGTTAAAAATCGGTTTATACTACATCAAAAAATTATTTTCTTCTTAAATAAAACATAATCTAGCAAATATTGATTTTTAAATATAAAAGTAAGATGGCTCTATCTATTAAAAACTTTTATTAAAGTAGACTTTTTTTAAATGTAGACTTATTCCACTTTTATTTGCAACAACTCATACATAAGTACCTATATGTATAATAAGTAGAAGAGGCTTTGTTGCTACGCTAATTTGTTTAAACATATTTATGTGTTAATAATATTGTCATAATAAAAAAAAGAATGATAAGCAAAATATATAACACAAAAATTGCATTAATGCTGTTATCAATAAATTTTATTTAATAAATTTAACACTTGAAATTATATGCAGAAATGAAACAATATCAATCAAGCAAATTGAACAAATTTTTAAACACTCTATAATCGATCTTGTAAAAATATATTAATACGAAATAAGTAGAGTCAATTTGATCGTATCATTACGACATGTAACATAAGTATGAAGGGTTAATTATATATGACAAGACATTTGACAGCTTGAATCGTATGTTTCTTTGAAAAATTAATTATAGAAAAGCATGCCAATTGAGACGTTAAACTTGATCAAAGGACTATGGTGTATACCAATTTCTAACTTAAAGTTGACAACTTTGCACAAGTTTTCGTATTATTCGCTGTCAACTCTTCGACAATAATGCATTCATCATCTCTATTTCTCATTCTTCCGCTAAGCGAAGTACCGAAATTATTATCAGATAGTCGGCATACAGCATACAATGAACTCTATTTACCCAGCTGAGAGATTATGAATATGCTTATATGTTTATTTTAGCATGGACGCACTAGCCTCTAGTCTAGTGGCCTAATCTTTTTGTATATAAACCCTATAGAGGTCAACCCGGAATATAATGTTCCATCTTCTCTTTGGATTCGGTTATAAACTGAGGAGGACATCATGTGCAATCAATATAATACCTCAAGATTATCGTTACAAATAAGAGTAAATCCAGGATGAGGCTTATTCCAGAATCCATAAGGATTAAAGGGCTTCCGCCGAGTTCAAAATTAGGAAATTTCAAAATTTTGACTGTACGAAATTGCATTCATATATCTCCTACAACAAAACTTTATGTATTCACTACAAACAGAAAGGTAGATTTATTATATACAACAGACTACTACTATAATCTAGTGAAAACTATAACTTTCCCAAACTACATCCAATTTAGCTCATTTTGCGATTCCATATTTAATATGGTCTGAAAACGTCAAACACTCAAAACAACGAATCACAACCAAATATCACTTTCACAAAGCAATTCTAATCTACAACATTTGATGGCACCATGAAATATTCTATATCGATCTATGGTGCTCGATCTAAGTCAAGTAATAACTACATATATAATATAGACACATAGCTAGGGCTGATACGTCACACTCTCAGAAGATTGAGTAGCAATATCACTAAACAAACATTGGAACCAAACATGGAATCGACAAGATTCCAGTGATTTTTAGAGTGACCATGACCTGGAGGAAAATAGTTGTTAAATTTTAAATGACACTGTATTCCTATTATGATATTGACCAGACTCTTATAACAGAATCTGATTTAAATTGAATACAGAAGCTCTAATCTCAACATAAAAAACAGCATTACATATATATAGACATACAAATAAACTGGTGATTAATTAAATTTAAGATTACTCTACACTTCTGAGTAGAATTATATATTTTATTCGAAATTGTGTTATATATACATACTTTTATACTTTTAATTTATAAATATCTTTCATATTTCATAAGATTATGCTACCATACATTACTTTCACATAAGCAGTTACTATTTCCTATATAACATATTTAAACAACAGAAGCTTTCGAATATTTTACGATTACTCATCTTAAACGAAATATATATTTTACTTGATTTTTATTCTTCTTAACTCTTTATTGGTTTTGGTAAAGTTTATTATTGTTAAAAACAGGGAAACCTGTTTTTCATTAAAAAAAAACTTTTAACCAAAAAATAACTTCTATTTGACTTTGTAAAAATAAAATATGTTAATATTTGTTTTTATGCTAATTATGTCAATATATACATACTTATATATATTTTTCAAATACTTTCTTGATTAGCTAAACTATTTTTTGCAAGTCTACACCCACACTTATAGTATATAGAAATGGAAGAAAGTCGTAGTTGACTGGCCGTAAAGTATCGAAACATTTGATTTTACTACAAATTGCAAAATAAAATTTTTTTTAGTGGAACTAAATTAGTTAATAAACATTTTCTAAGTATAAAATTAATATATGTAATTAATATATGCATAATCTTTCAGAAAAAAATAACATATTGAATTGAATAATTAAATCAATTTGAGACTAGAATGTATCTTCGAAACCTTAAAGACTTTTACAAATTCATGAGAAGTCACAGTTGTTATATTAAAAGCATATCTTAGCCAAAATATCACTTTCATGAAATAATAAAAATATTTGTCGAAAGTAAAGAAGAATACAAAGCTCTAGAGTATCAGATCTAAAAAGTATTTAACATATAGCACTTATCAAATCAAATAAACAAATTTTCATTAATGTTTCATGAAATATATATATTTATATATAAGAATTCACATTTTTCCTTAGACTTCAGATTTCGAATAATTGCCAAAATGAGACCTTACACAGTTGATGTACGTTCGGATACAGTAACGCAGCCAACATCTGATATGCGCCAGGCTATGGCTGAAGCAGAGGTAGGTGATGATGTTTTCGGTGAAGATCCAACAATTAAGGAATTACAAGATAGATCAGCCAGACTTTTTGATAAGGAAGCTGCTTTATTTGTACCCAGTGGCACAATGGCTAACTTGATAGCAAGTAAGTTAACTAATTTTTTTTTTTGAAATTTAAATAATAATAGCAAAGACAATATACTCTTAAAGGCCTTTTAATACTAATTTTTTCTAATAACTAATAAAAAATAAATATTAAACTATCTCTATTATATATATATACGTATATATTTGATAAGTAAAGTGGTAGCTAATTTTCATCTAATGAAAAAAATGATATATGAAAATAAGTTAATTTTAATTTAATACTATACTAATAATAAATTAATACTAAATTTACCATAAACTAATTCTTTGCCTCTAAAGCAACAGGATTTCAAGTTTGAACACGACTTGTGCAATATCTGCACTACCTTGTTCTGGTGTTTCACTTAACATTCATTTTTAATATGTTGTATGTGTTAATCTGTTTTAATTGCATAGTTTTGATAATATATTATTTCTATTTCTTGCTATCCTAAATCTCTTGTTATCTAAAATTTTATTGTATTGTTGACCAATATTTTTTTCTTTCATATTGCCAATTTAATTTCTATTGACAGTTTAAGGGAGAGAGCAGAAAGATAGATACTCCTCTTAACAATATTATTTAAAGAATATGAAAATTACACTTGTTATGATCCGTACCTAGTTTGATACGGACTGAAGCTAATCCGGCACTTGAACCAGCTTAGCTTTTCACGATATGTTATCCTCCGTATCTAGTCTGATACGGATTCACTAATCCGGCACTTTAACCAGCTTAGTAATTCACTTACGTAATCCGGCACATGAACCAGTTACGTAATTTATAGATATCTAGATATATATGTAAATATATATATAGATATTTATTTGTTTATTTTATTTTTATTATTGATTTTCAAATTCGGCACATAAACCGACTTTGCTCAAGGTTCTTTTAGGCACTTAAACCAAAAGAAAACACTTGGTTGTATTCAGGTTGTTAAATTGAATCCAATGTTTATTAAAAATGTTGTGCTTTTATACAAAATTCTTAACACTAAGCTTATGGTAAAGGAGGAAATGCACCCAGTTCCCACGATTTGTTATCCGATGGACTTTGAACATTCAAGGCCAAGGGCATTCGTGGGAAATATGTGCATTACCTATGCTTATACTATTTAATGCAACCAGCAAGCTGATATATGTATTTTGCCATATATCAACCTGCTTCACAAATTTGGTGACTTAAATGTGTTATCACTGAAGCCATGCGCCAACTCATATTGCACCTGTGGGAACAACAGAATTGTCGCAGCGGCTTGCCTATTGCTGCAACTCACAACGAACACACGATAAAGAAAATGAACATAATGCTTATCAACCTTGCACAGTGGCGTGTGAAGATGATCATGTTACGTCTGGCACGCTGCTAGCGTGCGAATATTTAGTTGTGAGAGCCAGCAACATTGCTAAATGTTTGATAACACAAATAAACACCAACAACAAAAACAACATAAGAACTAATTTAGGTACTTATGTACACATATAATTAATGCACTAATAAAAATACAATTATAATAATTGACAATAATAATACAATAATAAGAAAACAATTATAATGATTGATACAATGATAATAGATTTAATATGAAACTTAACAACACTAATTTGATATATTTCTTTATTTCTGAATTTATATAATCAAAATATAATAAAATATATAATATAATTTATTTAATAACTCTCTACTTAACTCTTATTAAAATCAGTTAGATATTTTTAAGTCTGTGTATATATGAAATTTTTTTCCAGTTATACGAAAAACCTTCATACTTTACTACAGGTCTCGAAAATACTAACATTTTTTTAAAACCTGTTTGCATATAGATTTTTATAGTATAAGAATAACAATCAGTCTCATTAATAGTTCAAGCACTGATTATCTTTCGTGTAACAAAAAACCTATTTGAGCTCAAATGATAGCCCATTGTGCTACCACAGAAATAGCATTGGCAAGTACATAGATTTAAATCGATACACAACCGATTTCCTTAGGTAAAGGAAAACCAGTCTGACAGTTCTATAAACTTGTCCAGGTTCCTAACATTACAGGATGACAGCTCAGTCAGATCGGTGAGAAAAGGGGATCCGAAGATATTTAATCTTCTTCTAGTTAAAGAAAGACACTGATACATAAGACGGAGTACGGTCTCCTGCTTATCCTAAGAGCTACAACCCCGAAAAAATCATTATAGGGTAGACCCAGTCTCATAGCATGCCTACCTATTTCGTAGCGTTCCGTTAGCACAGATATCGTGGTGCTGAGCAACAAGGTGATGTCATTTCTGTTCAAATAGCCATCTTACAAGCACTGCAAAACAATCCATCTAGATAGCACACTTTGTAGACTTCAAATAATTTCATGTTGATTCAGAGCTATACATAATGTTGGTCACTTAGAGTTTCCAAAAATACTTTTATTATGTTGACATACTTTTATGTTTGTCATTATTTCATTAAAGAAATCATTAATTTATTAAATTACCAAAAATAGAATAAAAGTGAAATATTATGAAAATAATATATATATGTGTTGTTCTTATCTGTAAACCATTTTTCACAATATATCACTTATGTCGCATGGAGTCGATTTAAATTTAAGGTAATTCGATGAAATTTTATAAATTCTGTTAGATTTATTTTCAAGCAACTCAAGTGCATATGCTTGTTAAGCTAAGATGAGAGTCGTAATCGCAATTTATATGCGCACAATTATTTAATAAAAAACTTTTTAGATATATCAATTTCTACTTCCGCATAGATTCAATGCAAAAAATATGCAAAAACTCATCCAACTACGCATATAATTTTAAAAATATTCGAGTATCTCACACATTTTATGGCTGGGAAATGATTTACTGCCATGCAAAGTGACGCTTATGGATATTTTTTGCGATTCATGCTTTTATATGCAAAAGCTTAATACTTTCCTAAAAGCATCCGAAATAAAACCTCCAAATAATTTTTAAAACAATTTTTCAATAAATTTTCAAACAGCAAAATACATAAATAATTTATATGATATTTTTAAGGAATACAAATTTAAACGAAATATATACGAAATATATAATATATTCTATTTACAGTTAGTTCTATCTATCTTTTATAGTTCTATCTCTTTAAAAATCTGTACATAGTGTATTATAATCTTATATGGAATTATATGGAAACTATTATTATTGTTAGGGGATGTAGTACCGCGACCGTCGGGTCTATTGTGGAAACTAAAAAGTATATTATATTCTGATACCCCTACTTTGGTTTTAAATAATGTTAAATATTATACTTAATAAACCTTTACTGTGTTATACAAAATATCAAGGACAGAGCCCTGAAATTATTTACAAAAGTCGAAACATTGCCCAACCCCGCCCTAACAAACCTTAAGTCCACCGGAGAACGCACAAAAAGATATGCTGATCTACGGTCCGTCATCAGTTAAAAGATAAATAAATCATAATAATTCTACTATAGTTAAAGCTTAGTGTGGGGCAGGGATAAGCCCCTAACCATAAAAGTATGGTTAGGGGGCGCAATAGCACTAACTCAAATCACAACAACAAAATATATAACTTATTGTTGAAAAGAATTAATGAGAGAAATATGTTTTGATCTAAAAATAAAAAGATCGCTAGAAAACTTATTAGAATGTCTGATTTTTATAAAGTCTAAAAGAACTTTTTTTTCAATTTCAAACTTGCCGACTTTGAGTATTAGTAGATTATTATTCGAAGCGACAATATAGTACACTGCGATTATAGGGATCTATTATAAAACACAATAAAGAGTATCTACTAAGCTTTACAAAATAAATGTAGGCTATTGATAAACTTAATAATAAAGCCTGGCTCTAGACTCAGACCTAGTGTAGAGTTCTGAATCCGTTTCGTAACAATCGCGGGATACGAGTAGATGAATTGGATAAATATTTTACTTTAAAACTTACAAAATATGCAAGTTGGATATATAATATTCTGTTCTAGAGTCTCAGACCCAGTGTAGGATTTTAAATCCGTTTCGTAACAATCGCGGGATGCGAGTAGATAAATTGGATAAATATTTAACTTCAAAACTTACAGAATTTACAATTTGAATATATAATATAGGTTAGAATTAGAATATATAAATTGGAGTTTCAAAGAAAGATAAGTTACTCTTCTTTGTAATCTTGCCAACAGTTGCGGCATTGTCAACTTTCTTATAACTAGGTTTATAGACACCTACTTATTATTGTTTGTATTACCGAATAAAGGGCCAATTAAGTTTTTGCAACTATTCACAGCTTGAAGTTTGGTGTTTCGAGATTGTAAGGATTTTTTAGCTGCTTGACACTGCTCCTTCTTCTACGATTTACCAGTCAATTAAAGATCTAACCTATTAACCTATATATATTTCAAATTAAAAGTAACCTATTTGTATTCCCTTCTCAGATGCATCATAACTGATGGCAATAGCAGATACTCTGCTTATAGAAAACTGATAAAAAGTATCTAATTGGAATGGTAAGACTTAATTTGAGTTCATCAACACTAGTTCCACTTTAATCGCTAATGATATATTATACTTTAAAGATCTTATAACATCAGGGTCGAAATACATGGGGACTCATTTATGGGAAAGAGTTATTAAAATAATTTCAAAATTCATATTTAAACATTTTATTTAAAAAATTAACTATGAAGAACCCTAACTATATCAGAATAGTCTGAAATATATCAGGAGGGGTTTAAAATCCAAAGTCTAAAACTGATGTAGTGAAAGGCTGTAAAAAGATTCTATTCTTCCATTCACTTTAATTAAGAATAATTGTATTAATATTGTAGAAAGACAAGTTGTCTTCACACTGGATATCTTTCATTCAGTTTTATGCGAGATGATGATAAGTAATATTAATATTATTATCTTAATAAAATATATATATGTATATATTTATAAATAATGCATTAAAAAATTTTAGGACATAAATTTTGATACGCTTGCAATTTATTCTTTATTTCCATTAAAAAAATTTATGATTTTTTTTTGCTTTTGGTATATGTTTATTTTATATTTTTATTAAGTTTATGGTATTTTCTATTTATTTATGTCTGTTCCAGAACTGATTTTTTTATTTAAACAAAATAATATTTTTTATTTTTTACAGTTATGGTACACTGCCATCATCGCGGCGCAGAGGCAATTGTGGGTGATTTATCGCATACATTCCTATATGAGCAAGGTAAGTACTTAATAGCCCAGCAATAAAACTAGTCATATCGAGGAGATATGGTACTTATAATGTGACAGTCATAATACGTGTAACATTAACGATCATAATATAACGAAATCATGTAATAGGAGACAATGACCACATTTCGTTGTGTATAATACAAAGGAATAGAATAACATTGTCAATATGTCGCGCATGGACTACCTATAATAAAAAAACATCCGCGGAACTCATCAAAAGAGACCGCGTGAACACTACAAGGTTAACTGCAGTTCTTTCTGGTCATTGGTGTGTAGGAACCCACGCAGAAAAACCTCGCATTCCCTATAACCCTCACTGCAGAAGTTGTGAAAACCCATAATACCCCGGCTTTGTGAATGCCCGGCTTTGGCGTCCAGAAGAAGACAGCATGCTGAACTCGAGCGATAAAGATCCAAACCACTGTTTACTAAAACATATTACCTGTGTTGTTTTAATAACTCTGCCTGTTCACTGGATGAGAATGACGTTTTGGAGTCTGAATTATAATTGCACTACCACATATTATTTTAATGAGTTAATGTAAAATCAAAAAAAATAATATTTTGTATGTAAGATAAATATAATATTTATCTAATTAGCTACATTTCCAATAGTAGTTATCTATTATAGTAGTTAACTAGGTCACTATAACTTAAGTATAAGCCCCACAAATTCAAAAAAGAGTATGAGACTACTACTAGACACATGTGGTAGCAAACCGGCGAAAAATCGCTAGCTGTTGTACATGAAAGTTATCCAATGGTCTGCCACTGCAACCAACCACTACTAGACACACTCATTTCAGACCTCATAACTAAATCTTGCGAGTGTCATAATATGGGTGTGTAGCGTTCAGTACGGCTTCAAACATTACTATTCGCCAGCTAGAAATTGCACAAAACTAGGCTCTGAGAAGACTAATATACCATGGTACATTAGGATGAATGACCTCCTCATGGACCTCAAGATTGATCCGATCAAAAAATACATAAAGGATAGAGCATTGCAATTATTCAAGAAAACTGACAGACTTACCAACACCGCGTTATTGAATCTCAGAATGGTTACAGGCTCCTCGGGGAGGTATGCAGATATGAGGTCAATTATTGCTTAGTCTGATGATGTGATACACAATAATCCAGTCAAAAAATTTCGCAGTTAATAGAGAGTAAAAGTGCTCAAGTGCACTGCTTCAACATAATAATATTTTTTCTAAAGAAACAAATTACGTTAAAATATCTTTATTGGATCACTTCCATTAATTTTTATAAATATTTTTTGCTGGGTATAAGACAGTAACTTATCACAACATAGCAGTTACACACAACTAAATATAATTGAATGTTAGAAATAAAATATTACAAACGTCAATATTGAAAACGTATGTAGTACAAATATTTAGATCAATATTGACCAAAGTTTTATTGAAGTTATTGTAGAGAAAATAAAGTTAAAGAACTTTCCTTTATCCAAAAAAAAAAACTGAAAAAAAAAATGTTATAAAATATTAAAATAAAAATTTTGAGAGCTTTTAGTATGTTTGAGTGCAGTTTGTTAGGTTCTGAAGTATTTGCAGTGAACTGTTGACTATAACTGTTGAAATAGAGAAATACATATCATATATGATTTATTTTGAAATACTTCGAAATATAGAAAAATTTAACAAATATTTTCTGAAAATTTTTTTTTAATTTATTTAAAACTTTTTATTTTATTTTGTGTATACAAAAGTTATACAAAAGTTGATAAAAGACTTTGTGAAACGTTCGATTTTAGGAAATACTTTTTTAAGGATTGTGACCAGCGTTTCCGAACTTTTTTTGTAGTATGTTCCATGCTAGATTTTAAAGAATTTTTATGCCTTTATTTTTATTTAAACTTCATTAATAAAATAATCTCCGTTTTCTTTTTCACTCCTACATTTCTTCTTGAATGGCAAAACATGCCCAAAATCGGGACTATTCGACTAATATCGGGACGTCTAGTCAGTCTAAGTTCAATGTTAAAGATTAAGATTAATTAAATTGGCTTTTTTAGCTATCAAGTTTCCCTCCCACGGTGAATAGGCCCCACTTTGGGAAACACTGGCAGAGATGCAAAGAAAATGTTTGATATATACTGTAATCGAACTGTTAACCATCTGTGATCTGTCTCTAAGCGAACATAACTGTTTATTTAGTAAATTAAGTATGTAATGAAAAATTGACTGTAATAAATTACAAAAAGGAGCTGAATTTCAAGATTAACTGTATTATTCCCAAACTAACAACAGATTCTTAGAACAACAATGTTTGGATCAAACTATTGGTTACATTAAACATGTGTTATCTATCAATACATTGTGACCGAAAAGTTTCCGGTCATAAATAAATAAAACGCAAAATTCTTAATCTTCATCAATATTTATTTTATCTCCTTCAAAATATGCTCCATTAGAAGCGATACACAAATGCCAACGTTTCTTCCAATCATCAAAACATTTTTTATAGGCGCTTTCCGGTATGGCTTTGAGTTCCCTCTGCGAATTCTGTTTTACGTCTTCTATGGATTCAAAACGCGTTCCTCTGAGTGGTAATTTGAGGTTGGGAAACAGGAAAAAGTCACACGGTGCAAGATCAGGTGAATACGGTGGCTGTTCGATGGTATTTATTGAATGTTTGGCCTTAAAATCGTTGATAATGTTGAACAAATTGAGGTGAATCGGAACAAGCCGGGCGTTGACACGTCGCATACACAAATTGTCCACCAAAATCAAACGAGCCATCTCACGACCGATGCCTAGCTCTCGTGCTATCTCTCTAACACTCACATGAGGATTTTTGAACACGATTTCCTTTGCCTTTTCAATGTTTTCGTCGGTGGTAGAGGTCGAAGGTCGTCCAGAACGCGGCATGTCTTCGACGGTCGTACGACAGTCCTGAAAGGCTTTGTACCACTCATAAACTTGAGTTTTCGATAAAACTGATTCCCCATAAGCCTTTTGTAGCATTCGCAACGATTCTGCACACGAAATTTCGTTCGAAAAACAAAATTTGATGCAAACTCTTTGTTCAATATTTTTTTCCATTGTTTTTTTCGCAACGCACTACTGAGGTGAACTGGTTTCAACAGCTGCCGTAAACGAACTGTCCGACAGATCGCGCTCATTTTTGGCATAGTAATTGTCCTTAATTGCTGCCAAACTACATAAACTTAAAATATCGAAAAATATACAGCGCGCGAATTTTAAATGAGAACCTCCGAAAACCTTTCGGTCACAATGTATATATAAAAATTTAATATTTCAGTTTCTGGAGAGGATAAGCAATAATTAGAAAACAATATGAATATTTCTTATATGTACTAAAATAACAATTATTACATTAAGACATAACATTATCATTTAATATGTCAGTCTTCGAGGAAATTTGATCATAAATCCCTTGTTAGTTTTATGCTATCATATTCAATTTTTGGTACACCCACAGACCACACTTATTCCATACTTCAAAAATAAATAAACTAATTCCACAATTATATTACTATTAACTTTTTAAGAGTGTTATGCAGCTAAATGGGAAGGTAAAGCTAACTTGTCGAAACCTTGTATAGACCTTATATATCAGAGGCGGTACGTATACCTTAAGATGTGTGTGGACTTGAATTAATAGTTCAGTCGAATATCAGAGTCGAAGTTAAATCGATTAAAAATTGTTATTTTAAAGAATTACATTCGAATTTGAAAAGAGCCGACCTAAAACAGTAAAGATATAACAGAGTGTCTGTAACACTCGATTCATTACACTTTCTATATTTGTCACTGTTAATAATATTTAGCTTATGCTCGGTAAATACTCGGTAAAAATATTAATAAGCTTTTAACAGTGGTTTCCATCTACCAATAGCAGGGATAAAGTGCATCTTTTATTGAATGTGTTGGGATATTGTCTGGCAACATATTTCCATATTTCCCTCTGGTGCGTCTCTTTATAATTTTGCACGATTATTTGTGTGTTTGGTTTTAGTTCAAATATAAAAAATTAAATATTTTCTTGGATCAGTCTTCTATATATGTCAGCAAAGTGTCTTCGAAGATCGGTCTTTGTTCGAAAATGTCTTCGTCATCATATAACTGATCAATCTGTAGTTTAGTTACGCCACCCACTTCCTAGTTTTTCAGCATGTGTTCGTCAAGCTAGTTGTATATATCGCACAGAACTTTCAAACTGACGGCTCTGCAGAGAGTTCTCTCACTCCAGCTGTCTTAGGTTATTTTCCTGTGTTCATGAAGTTATCTGCGTATATTCCACAGAGACTTAAATACTTTATTTAATATCCAATTTGATTTTTCTTTGATATATAATTGAAAACAAGGAAACTATTTGATCTTAGATGGTCTTAAAAATGACCTTAAAACGTAATTTATTTTATTTCCATTACATCTTAACTGAAAACTTATGAATAACCCTAATTCATATTTGCGCTTACACCTGCACAAAAGCGCAAGCAATTCATTGCATAAAACTGAAATCGCTCATCAACTTATATATATTCAACTTATGAATCCTTCACTTTACAGGTGGAGCAGCACAAATTGGAGGAGTTCAATTAGCCACAATTAAAAATGAAGTCGATGGTACATTTAGTCTCAGTGAATTGCGAAACAAGATTCGTTATGACGATTGCCATGAGCCCATCACTTGCTTGGTATCAGTCGAGAACACACATAACATGTGCGGAGGCAAAGTACTGCCACTTGAGTGGCTAAATGAGCTAGTGAAAGTTGTCAAAGATCCTGCTGCAACTCACAGTCCGATAGCATTGCACATGGATGGAGCACGTATCTTCAATGCAGCAGCGGCACTGAAAATACCAGTGGCGCGTATAACGCGTGATTTTGATTCCGTTTGCTACTGCTTGAGTAAAGGACTTTCAGCACCAGTGGGTTCAGTGTTAATGGGCTCAAAAGCTTTTATTACACAGTGAGTGCCCTTGAATTATAATCAGTTACCATATTTTTATTGCTTTGAATTAAAATGTATTAAAATAATACAAGTCAACAGAACGAAAAAGTCTGTTAAACAATTGAAACTTTAGACTGCAGTGCGGGTTTCCTTACACCTTACACCGCTAACTTTTCTCACTTTTTCCATAAATAAAAGTTTTCTATTTTCTTTTTTCTTTTTTCATTTCTAATTTTTTTTGTTTTTGTTTTGTATTTTTACTTTTAAAATTTTTTTCCTCACTTCCTATAGAGCACACCGTTTGCGCAAGGCCTTGGGCGGTGGCATGCGTCAAGCTGGTATTTTGGCTGCCGCTGGTTTAGTGGGACTTGAGACAGTTGTGCCACGCTTGAGTGGTGATCATCAAAGGACAAAACGTGTAGCTGAAGGTAGGTAAACGACTTCGTCAACTTGAATATTTATGAGCAACAACAAAGCTCCAAATGGCAGGCAATTGAAAGAAATGACTTTCTGTGAATTGTTGACTGCAATTCTTATGCCTTCATGCATCGCATGAGATATGAGCCCTCATCTGAACATAAATGGCTGCACCTAATTGTAGTTGCAACAAATGTTGCATTTTAAGGAGTGACTACAAAAATTGTTAGATGCCATTACGCTATTTAGTGGGAAAGTGTACAGCGTGCATTTTAGATGCAGTAAAACATTTTATGCACTGAGAAAATTTATTGCATTTTCTTTAACAATTTTCGCTGCTCTTAAATGCATTTATTTTGATTTTATATTATTATTTTTCAAAACTAATAATATTTTCTTTTTCATCTTATTTAGCTGTGCATAATTTGAAAAGTCCAAACTTCACCGTTGATCTACCAAATGTACAGACTAACATTCTCCTAATTGATATATTGAATTCGAAATTATCCTCAAATGAATTTTGTTCACGTTTGAAGGAGATAAAACCTGAGGAATTGGAGCAAGGTGTCACCTCAGATGAGGCTGGAAAAGTGGGTATTGTTGTGCAGATGAGTTCCCGCAATTGGAAATACGCACGTGCTGTATTTTATCACCAGAATACGGATAAGGATATTGATATGCTTATCAAAAAGCTGACATATGTCATCAAAGAATTTGATTCCAGTCTCACTGCTTAAGTTCAGTATTGAATGCAAAATTTTTAACATTAAAAAATGTATTAAAAATTGTAACTTGTATCTAATTTTAATAAATTTTGCATTAAAAATTAAGAAGAGTTTTAAAATTTATTACATCAGCATAATGATATAAATTAAAATAATTTAATAACTTTTTCAAATAATAATCATTTTAAATGTTTTATAAGAGTGATAACACACTCCATCTCAATTTTATCAGTTGTTTTTACTTCTATAACTTTCTAAATTATTTACCTATAATCACATATAAGAAATAATATCACTTGATTGAATATTATAAATTAATCATGGAATATGCTAATTGGTCAACGAATGAAAACGCAAATTATTGTTTCAAAATAAATTTCTAATATTGCAATTAGATTGGGTTTTGTGCAATAGATCCCCGATATAAATATTGCATTCTTCTCAGACAACCAAGCTGCTATTAAATCTCTAGTAAAAGCAACAGCTACAATAGTATGAGAATACCGAGTTTCTCTCAATAACCTAGCTATGTGTGTCAGTGTTCAACCTAAATATTGCGAATGTACATCTGGAGAAAGGGAAAAATCAGATAACTGCAGGGCAGACGAACTTGCCAAGGTAAGCACGCTTATTTCTGACATTAATTTCTCAACTATTATCTTGTAGCATTTCCAGAACTTAATTTGTTTTAGTATATTTTTTGAAATAACATATCAACACATATCAAAGCAGTTCTATAGCTCATGTTAGATCTTAAGTAAATACAAAATGAAGCTATTGATGTATTGGCTTAAACACCACTATTATTTTAATACTTCGTTTATATTCATACACCTTTGCTTTAAGTTAGTTTAAATAGTACCCACATATATTTTTTTAAATATACGTTGTACACGAAATCGAACCGATATCTACTATATTATATTTCATGACGGACAGTTTTTGTCATATAAACACCATATCCAAGACTTGCAACAACATTAAACTTTAAGATAAATCAACTGTTTTAATTAAAAAAAGGTGACAATATATATAGTTTTCATTGCAAAAATATTATTTGTGCTTTAAAGCACATAAGTGCATCAGAAAAGCACTTTTATTATCTCTCATCAAAGAAAATTTTTTTCTTTGTTGGTATTTATTAACTAAATGTTAAAAATAATGTAGTCGGCCTAAAGTAAGTTTTCTAACTGTATGGTATTAAACACAGTTCAGCGCAGAGCTGAACTCTATATTAATAGTATTTTGAGCACTACTTCATTCATTTCATTAGACTTACTACTTCACCTAATGCATCTTAATGGCATAAGCAAGTTCATTGTGTTATCTCTGCTCTTAAATTTGAGGTAACTTCAGAATGGAAGGCTTATAAATATGGTTACTGTTCATTTCTGGTCCTCATCGAGATTTCTTCGACGAGTTCCTGATTTCGACAGCAAATATACTGCTCACATTAAATTTAGAGATAGCCGGCGTTTAGAAAGTCTCTTATTAGAAGAAAGTGTAATTATTTGTACTCACAGCTTTTCAGCTAGTTATGTAGTTATATAGCTATGTATGTAAAATTCATTATTGAGAATGATCATGGCATATAAGTATGTAATATAATTAAAAAAGTATAACTACTTTATATAAGGAACTACGAAGCAAGCAAATGCTTTGAGATCCCTCATAAGCATATAAGTCTAATAGTGCGCATACTCATGGATCTCTATCGGCTAGAAATCCTTGTTCGATGATTGACTCTCAGCTTTAATGACTCTTGTCGCAGTTCTGGGAGTACTTCGTATCACCTTTGTCATTGCTCAGTAGATGTGGGAGTACTTCGTATCACCTTTGTCATTGCTCAGTAGATGCTTGTTGTAAATTAAACCTAATGGCGACTAACTTTCTAAAATTTTACTGTCTAAAACTTAATCCGCTACAGCACCCTTTTCCTCTTCTTTTTTTTTATATTTTTTGTTTTTATTTTTTTTTATTATTCTTTTAATATTACAACTACAATAGATATCTAGTACTACTTTAAACAACGGTAATACACAAGTAAAGCACAAGTAAAGATGCAACTCTTGCAATGCAAGATCGTATTCAAACAACTAACAGAGCATATTTTGCCCATATCAAGCTCACTATCACTATTTTGCCCAAGCAAGCGTTACTATCAAAGGAAGAAAAGTTACGCATATATAAAACTGTCACTAGACCGGTTCTTACCTACGACTGCGAAATATGGGTCCTTAAATCCAGCGACAACAACCTGCTACTGAGATTCGAAAGAAAAAAACTCAGAAAAATATTTGGCCCGGTGTGCTTAGAAGATGGCACATATCGTATACGGTATAACGACAAATTGAATGTCTTGAACGAAGGTCGAACTATAACACGATACATAAAACCTCAAAGATTGAGCTGGTATGAACACGTCCTACGAATGAGTAACGAAAGAATGACTAAGAAAATTTTCAAGACAAAGCCAGAGGGGAGTAGAAACAGAGGACGACCGCGACGAAGATGGCTACAAGCAGTAGAAGACAACATAAGAACGATGAGAATAACATAACACAGAAAGAAAGCGAAATGCAGAGAAGAATGGAGGCATATTGTAGAGGAGGCAATGGTCCATCCCGGACTGTGATGCCAAAATGATGATGATGAATACTGTTTGTATACTGCAATACAAAAGCCCGATAAGCATTTGGCATATTGGCCTAAACCATTCTTGCAAATGGTTTGGTAGAATTCATCTAGGATCTATATAGTTTGATTATTAATTATATTATATTTATATATTTAAAGCTGCATTTAAATGTGACTTAAATTTTTGTATGCTTTAAGATTATCTAAAATTCAATTAAAATCTTTTTGTTCTGTTGTAACTGTGAACCATTTAGAAACCTTTGTATGAGTATTATTTTGGACTTTTTTTTACCTTATTTACTCAATTATTTTTAATATTATTTCTTTTATTTATTTTGGGTTAACTGTCAACTTAAACTATCAAACTACATTAAATTCCAACATTCAATTTCAATAATCATTGAAGTCATAAAAACAACTACTTCGGATGCATTCAAGTGTAAACATTGATTCGATTCCCTTAAAGATATCTAACCGGTGGTAATGGCTTTTTTCGTACTTCGAGCAGTAGTAAATTTTTGGTAATTGATATTAGAGTTCTGCTATTCACGCTGCCGTGAGTACTAAACTTAATGGCAAATAACGATTTCGCATGCGTCCCACTTCAAATTATCATCAAAATCAATTGACAATCATCAAAAATAATAATCATGTTAATAATCATTAATGATAATAATCATGAATGTGTATTTAAATCGTTATAGCGAATGATTATGGCAATTATAATCAAAAGCATTGTTTGTTAAATGAAATCATTATAAATTCTAAAATATATCGCATTTTGTTAATAAACTCAACTTCATTAATAAAAAGTATCTGAATGTAGCTGGTTTTATCAAATAAAACAAACAACAATAAACAACAGCTACACTATAAATTTCATGTTTTTACACTCATGAATATTGTCAACAGAAGTCATTAACTCGGAATGCCGAAATATGCCTGATTTTACAATTTAGGATATTTATCCTTTGTTTGTCCATAATTTCGTGCTTATGTGCATGTAATGTAAAATTGGAGTCAAAAATCAAAATTTTAATTTCATTAAATTTAATGCCTGGCATTTGATGTACACACCAGCCTCCGCCTCCATGCTCAGTCAGCTTTCTCTCAACTCAACCTCTTCTCGTCCTGGGGTCCTGATGTCCTTGTGAAATGTACAGAATTTATGCAAAATTTTAAGCACAAAATTGTTAACAAATGTAATGGAATCCTGAAAACAATTAGCATTGAGCTCGCACATAAATATTTGCCATGCATATGAATTTTTAGTATTTATGAGTGTAAATATGAAATTTCTGAATTTCACTAGAAAATTTCACTAGAAAATGTTTGCACGAAGGACATTTTCAGTGCCACGAAGGATTCAATTGAATTGGTAAGTAAGTGTGTAAGTTCAGTTGGTAAAATTTATGAGCTCTAAATGAAAATATTTCTGCAAATTTGTATTTTAATGATACGCTCCGAAAGGATATTGTAGAAATAAATAATATATAAATTATATATTACTTGTCCTGTCATATTAATATTAGTTTTCGAACATAATACCATAACATGCATTGTGAAGTCCAAGTCAATCTGGGACAATATTAAGAAAACATATTAAAGATTCATGTAATTAAAGGATATTAATTTTCACACTAAACTAACTAAGATGTTGACATGGTCAGAAATGACATGGTTGGCACTGCTTGATTTCAATTATTTAACAATACAATATGAGAGATTACACTACAATAGTTGGTATACTTACCATATAATTGAAGGCTCAAGTGGATTAATGTGGATCTTTGACACTATATTATCATTTTAGTTTGCCTATTATAGATCCAATATGTGTAAACACAAATTAGAATTTAGTTCTTACGTTATTTGCCGTAAATTTATTTTAATTTATATTTATGTTTAACTTATGTAAACTTAAAATGATTTATTTCAATCGAACTTTCAATCCACACTAATTAATGACTATGCTTACACTTATAATTATTAAACATTTTTGTATACACAATTGCGATGGTCTTAATGTAATGTAATATCCTTACATGTATTTTAACATTTAGTATTTTTATAAATATTCTATTTATTTTACATGATTGGCCTTTGCAGAAATCTAATGTGCTCAATAGTCTCTTCAGTCGGTTTGAACAGCAGCTTACTGTTGTCAGTGGATAGTTAATAGATTTGGGCATAGAAATCTTACGATATCTTACGGGATATCTTACGATAATCCCTTCAAATAGAATTATTTATTCTATTTATTTTATATTATTGGCCTTTATAGAAATCTAACGTGTTTGGCCACGGTCAATAGTCTCTTCAGTCGGTTTGAACAGCAGCTTACTGTTGTCAGTGGATAGTTAATAGATTTGGGCATAGAAATCTTACGATATCTTACGGGATATCTTACGATAATCCCTTCAAATAGA